TAATGTGTATATAATACTTTTATATTTTATTAATCGTTTTAATAGTTAAATTATTTAATATGTATATAATTTAAATTTGAAGAATAGATGGATGGATTATATAAAATTGCACTTGTTTTAAAAAATAAAAATAATTATTCATTATTTCAGTCATTATTTTATTATTATAAAGTACATAAACAAAATTCTAATACAATCTTCTCTGTCTCCTGGCAGGTTTGACAATGTCACCTCACGTTGAACATGTTGCTCATGGGTTTGACATTGCTTTCAACGCCTCTGACCACAAATCGTGGAAGAAGTATGCGAAAGCACTGGAAGCCCATTTGAAACGTAAGTCCTGCATGAGAGAACTAGTTGAATTTAATAGGGAAGTTACGTTTTCTGTTCAGTGGGCGCAGATTCAAATCGCTCCAGCATGCTGTTTAACAAGTCCTGCTGTCTATAGAAATACTGACAAGGAGGGAAACCCTTTTATTCACTCAGTGTAACTGTTCATTGCTGCCAGGGCCCCACTTTTTGTGCTGGCCTGTAAGTTGTAGAGGCCAGGCTGAGCCTCAGCCATTGTTTGGTTAATTTATGTTCTCTCTCTCCCTCTATTTTTCTCTTCCATGTCTTTTATGATGGTTTCCCGCCATGGCCACATCCAGCCTATGATGATAAAGTGCAGGAGAGGCGGAACATTCCATGTGAAGGAAATACGTATTTCATGCAGGACGACTTAGATGAAAGTGCCGAGCGCAAGGCATGTCAGTTTAAGAGGTCCATGCTGGACGAATGCTCCGGCACACGTGACAAAGATTTCGGATACTCTAAGGGCAAACCCTGCATCATCCTCAAAATGAATCGGGTGAGATCATAATAGCGTGGAACATGCAAAAAAAAAAATTTATTTTGGTGGCAAAACAACCAGTAGCACCTCAATGCAGAACATGAGATCCACGGGGAGGAGTCGGATCACAATCCAAGGGGTGGAGATGAGTAGGATTAGGGTTGGGTTTAGGGATTAGGGGTGGGTTTAGAGATTAGGGGGCGGAGTTGGTTAGTTTTAGGTGTATGTAAGGTGGGAGGAGTTGGATCTGGATCCGACTCCTCCCCATGGATTTCATGTTCCGCAGTGAGAACGCCCCCAAAAAACAGAATCAATAAAACTCTGAAGCTCTAGTGCCATCTTGTGGTTAATATAAGCACATCCTGAAGTTTATCATTTAAGTCCAGTCTCAATAGCTAGTTAAGTGGTACGTAAAACGCTTGTCTGTTTTCTGACAGATTCTCGGGTATCTGCCTGGTCAAGGCACTCCAGTACACGTTACATGTGGATTAAAGGTAATAATTAATGACTGGAATAATCCATTTATACTGTATAAGTTATACAATAACTAATTACATAACCATTACATACATACGTTCCAATTTTGGTTCTTCTCCAATGATTTTCCAGAAAGGGTCAACTGAAGTCCTCGGAGATGTCGAGTTCTTTCCAAACAATGTCTTCAACTTGCGATACTATCCCTATTATGGGAAACTGAGACATGTAAGTGATCCTATTTCACATCTCAGAATTCCTTGAAGATTCAATAGCATTTCATAGTATTTTTCACCATTTCTACAAACAGGTAAACTACTCTTCCCCATTGGTGGCTGTGCGCTTTTCTGGACTCCAGTCCGATACCCAACTACATGTTCAATGCAAACTAAACGGCAAGGGCATCATCAACGATTCAGCAACCGACCGTTTCCTGGGTAGCGTGTCTTTCACTTTACAAGTGGGGGCGTAGGATCGTAGAGAAATTGAAATGAAAATTCAGAGTATGTTATAATGAATGAAATAGCACACTGGGTGTTGTCTTTACCCATTAGCCCTCTGATTATGCCTCCGGCAGCCACTGTGCTATTCGTGTCAGAGCTGTGTTACTTCACTACTTTTTCAACAAGGGATTTCCCAATAAGCAAAGACTGAGATTTATAGATCACATTCAGTAATGTAACATTCAGTACCAAGCCACTAGAGACTCACACCTGCCTTTGTTTCATTATTGAATGAAATAAAAAATATGAAAAATGTCCAAATACGTAGGTCACCATTATAGCTACTGAGGCATAATCACTCAACGAACAGTCTACAGTGAGATGTAGGCAAAACAAATCTCTAGATCTGTTTAGATTATAGAATTAACATGTATTAAAACATATATTGTTATTTTGGTAATTCAAATGTGTATATAACACATTAAAACAACTTTTTATTTTTATGTTTTTCTCCGTTGAGTCAACATCTCCATTATATTCCCCCTTTGGACGAAGAAAAAAGGCAGAAAATGACTTAACATTATCTTTTTACTTGCTCATTTAATTGAATAAAAATCAGATGTGATTAGAATTAATAACTGATTGTACATTTTTGGACTAAATTTTTTATTACTAAATTTTGATTCCAGAGGCAAATGTATTTTACTGAAATCCCACGTCATAATTTTCAGAGCTTCATAATTAAATACAAGTTGATCTTTCTTTTGTCGAGCATGCAACCACCACTTCTTAAAAACAAAACAGAGTGTTTCACAATTCATCCGAGTGAAAATATCTGCTCAGTTACCTGTAAGAAAGATTTCAACAGTATTATTTATTAATTGTATTTGAATATATTGACATGGTAAAAGCAGTGTAATAATGAGATGGAAATTGGTAATTGCACATCTTTGTTATTCAGTAACTACAATGAAATATCCACTGGCTGACAAAGATTTTCCAGCTCATGTTTTTAAACGCACTCATGTTCTAGCATAAACAATAAAGATGGATGAGAATTAACCGGAATCAAACTTTTCTGCTCACTTTTCCATTCTCCTTTAAAGTGACATCAGTTGTGATGTGCAAATAATGTGTCTTATGACAAACTGCATGTGATGATCCTTTTTGTAAGATGACAAAATGTTAAACCCATAAAACACACTAACAAAAACATCAGCACTACACACACACACACACACACACAATCATGCGGTCATGTCATCTGATAGGCAGTACATACTGTAAAATGCAGGTCAAAGAGAGACACTTCTATTCCAGTAAGAGAATAATTTTTGACATCAGTAACTTTTATAGCAACACTGCTGATCAAAGTCCATCAAGAGAAGCATAATCCATAATCTACGACTGACTGTAAAAGTCATGTGAACCACTTGAAACTACAGTTGTTCAACATCAGGTTTAACAATTTGAGAAAAGTTGATTTCATTAAGTCGGCAAGAAAGGAAGAAAATGCTGTACAAAAACAAAAAGCTATTTTATTGAAATTGTTTCCACTCAAACTTGAACCAGCATTCTTAACTTGACAGATATAGGTCCAATAGGAAAAAAACAACAACTAAAAGGCACATTATAGTACAGTGATATTGTGTTTGTTTTAACAGCTAAACCCTTCAGGCAGGGAAAAAAAAAAAAGTATTTCCATGAAATGGTCTGGACACATTCATATTTTCACTATGGTGAGCAGGAATTGGACTGAAAACTGTACCTTTGGTCTTAGAAATGGTGTACATTGTGTGTGTCCAGAGAAATAACCAACTAAATTCACAAATCCACATACTAACAGGCCTATTAACACTTCCAACATTCCCTGAGAGGGACCAAACAAATTAACAAAAGCATAAATCAACAATCCTCTTTAAAAATGCTGGTAAATGTTACGCACACACAAAAAAGTGTCCCTTCTTAATACAATGTGCTAAGTGCAAGAACGTGACTTGAGTGACTTTTAATTTGGGCCACAAACAAAACCCCGCAAGATTACAATTACAGAACTGATTTAGAATTTACATTCAATGGTTAATAAACAAGGGATAGCTAATTCTAAAATTGCATCATTCATTCATAACAGTTCACATGAATTTAAGTCACAGCAACCAGAACGGAGCGTCCATAGAGCAAGAAAATGCATCAAAACTCCCATAAACAGAGGAAATCTTTTTTTTTTCTTCATGCATTTAACATAGCACAATGCCAGGTTATTTAGACAGCCTGTGCTTACATTACACAAATTAATCATGCCAGTTGCTTTGAGTGTGATTAAGCAGAAATATAACACATCATTCATAGTTGAAATCACAGGAAATCAAATGATTAGAGCAATTAGACATGTTAGAACGGGTGACATCAGCAGTTAGCACCGCCAAGTGAGGAGGGTCAAGCAGCTTGCAGTGCAAAAGAGGAAGCCAACAGGCCAGAGGAGAGGAGGGGCAAATATAAGTGGCAAAGGACAAGCCAGGGTTAGAGGTAAGATGGCAGCAGGTTGAGTTATACAGACTGGTAACCAGTACGACTCTTCCGTCGGCCAATCAGGTAAGAGATAAGCACTAAGATGATTAGGAAGCTGAGAGCCACACCCACAGCAATGGGCACGAGAAAACTCAAATCAGAATCCAGAAAGCATTCCTCCGCTAGGAGAAAAAGAGAGAGAGAGAGAGAGAGAGAGAGGGGAAGTGAGTGACATACTACTGCTGATTTTATTCACAACAGAACTAACAACTCAGTCAGACCGATGCAGAAAGTGTTATGTTATGTGCCATTCAGGCCTACCTTATAAATTACTTCACGTTATAAATTGATTTAAAAAAAGCTCATGACTCATTTCAAAATAAATTTTCATGTGCACAAAAATACTGAAACTGATTCCCGAATTTCAGCAAGATCAGTCAGCACTTGCATGGGCACTTGACATTCTTTGATTATGATCCAAATTGCTCATAGCCAGAGGTTTGACTTCTCTTTCTTCCAATCAGATAGGCCAGTAAGACAATAACAACGAGGACAGCCAGGGCAACTCCCACTGCTATAGGGACAGTGAAGTTATCAGGCTCATCTGCTTTGCAATCCTCAGCTGAAAATAAAGAGAATGAGTAAAGGAAAAAACAAAGCCATTATGTTTTAAAGTAGACTTGAATCAAATTCTTTGACATTTGCATGTTTGTGTTAAAGGGTGAAAAGATGGCCCACACCAGTTTTAATGTATACACAACTGTCTCTCCATTTATTGCAGCTAAAAGCAGATTAAAACAGCCATTTCCATTGAAAAAAAACAAAAAACAATTTTAGGGCAGTCAGAATCCTTCTTTTACAAGTTTGCTGGCAGAAAACAGTCACAAAAGTATGCTCAGGAAAAAAAAATGATAAGTGATAGGATGGCAAGTTTAAGTAACTTCAAGCAAGGCACAAAATTAGTCATTTTGAAGGTTAAATTTATCCTGGCTATTGTGATTTTTTTTTAAAGATTCTGTGCAGGTGATCAAATTAGAATGGTGCATAAACTAGAAAAAATTAAACTGAAAGGAAAAAACTGAAAACATGAAGCCATTATATGTGATAAACGATAGAAGAATAAAGACATAAGAGAAAGCAAATAATGTATTCTGAAAAGGCTTAGCAACTGAAAACCACACCAAGTCATGTACAATTTACCATGGCGTGTGAAAAATAATCCACAGCCACTTTTAAAGAGGGTTCAAGCTGGTGCAAAAAATTCTTGCAGCAAATACAATTTACAGTAGTATAAGCAGCAGCATGTCTTATGCTATAGTAGCTGTAAAGAATTCAAAATTATGGTAAATGCTGACAAGACATTTAATTTACAACTCATCTTCCCTTTTTAAACCATTTCTATATATATAAAAAAAGAAAAAAAAGTACAAAACATAAGCAAAAACTATTTAGTAACAGCATTTATATGGAAAAAAAAGGCCTACTTTTATTGCAATGGTTTGCATTTTTAAAATGCTTGTCATGAAGTTTAAACATTCGAGCATTTGTTTTTCTGTTCTAGAATTTGAGTTGTAGTTGTTTGAAAAGACTATTCAGCATGTTTAAATGTTCTAAGAGTAGCAATCTCCCTCACTCGGAATAGAAGATGACCGACAAAAGCATTGATCTCTTGCTGTCAAGTCACTATAGTGCACAGCAACAACCCGTTTCTGGAAGCATTTTTAATATTTAACCAAAACGCTACAAGACAGGTGAATAAAACACTGTTTCAGTTTAAAGCTGTGGACACAGTAATGGGCAGAATTTAATCAAATTAACAAAAGGAATGTCTAATAGATGATATGGAGCAATTAAACTTTAAATTGGCCACAAAATGTTCTTGCCTATGAATATTTTGAACAGCATGGTGCTACGACTATGCATTAATTTGCATTTTGAGAGCTAGAATAGAAACACAAGACCATGAACTTCTTGGGGGGGGGGGGGGGGGTGCACGCACACAATTATTTCACAATAGGGAGCTCTGGTCCTGGAGTGCCACTGCATCATCAGATTTTAATGTTTTGCAGTTTGAGGGCCAGAGGATTATTATAAAGACATTTTTGGACTGCTGTGGCCCTGAGTAAATTGCCAATTGAGATTGCAAAAAAAATTAAATAAATTAATCCCACAATATTATCAATGGTCCAGGAACAGATTGTGCGTCCCTTAAAACACTCAGGATTTGATTCTTTGATTTCGTTGCATTACAATGTCTGATATCCAACATAGGTCCTTCGTCGACCAATCACGTATGCAATCACAACAATGAAAATCAAACCAGCCAGAGCAGCACCAACAATGATTGGGATTAAGAGGCTGGTGTCATCCATTGAACATTCATGGGCTGCAGACAGAGAGAACATGAATGAAAATAAGATGAAGCTGCTATCTTCTCATTAACACTTCAGACATAAATCACAGACACTTGATCTGGTAATACTGGACCATTTTTTTGAGACCTCAACCTCATAGATAGTTGTAGAATTTAGCATTTGTTATTAGAAAAAAAAGAAAGAAAGAAAAAGTTATGCGTAATTATTAAAAAAAAGGTGCGTTTCTCTTGAGCAGCAAATAAGCATATTAGGATTACTTCTGAAAGATGCGACACTGAAGACAAAGTGGATGCTGAAAATTGACCTTTGCCATTACAGGAATAAACTACAATTTAAAACAGGAGTTAATTTGAAATACACAAGTGCAGTTATACTGCATTTGATCAAATAATTGCAGCCTTGGTGAGACACTTAAAACATCCTTTCCTCAGAGTTAGCCTACAAAAGTAATTCAGATCTATCAGGATTGATTTTGCAAGAAATTTCAGAGCCGTCATTCATCTTCAAGTCAAGTAAATTTTACATATACATCCTTACTATCAATTATCTTGTGCAGCTTGTGTACGCATTAAATTTGTGTGAAGTGTACACAAAAGACTAAGAACAAATCACGACTTACCAAAAATGTACTCTTTTATTCTAAATTTTCTAAAAGCACTTAGTCTATACGGCCTTAGTGTCAAGTTACTTCATCCTAAGATGATTTATTATATTGAAGTATGTTGCATTAGTTGTATTAAATAATCCATATGTAATATACAATCAAATAATTTACAGTTAGAGTAAGAAAAGCTGCAATGTTTCTGTTTCACGTGTACAGCTGGCTAATGAGAGGTCTGTATAAAATCTAGCAAGAACGGCACACTTCGGATTGCTCAAGTGCGTCTGCAAAAAGCGGCAAAATTGACAAGGTGAAAGGCTGTTAAGGAAAGTGTGAACGGAAAGCCCTTATATGGAGATGGTTTGGGCACGTTTTACGGATATGACCAACCTTGTGTACACACCCTCTCATTTAAAACACTACAAATTCACTTACATCAGAGTGACGTAAAGAACAAATTCATTTGCGTACAAACATGTGAATTACACAGAAATTTTGCATGAGAAGTTCTCCTGTGCATACAAGTCCTAAATCTACACAATTATTTGTGAATGTAACCCAATAGCGTTATCAGATTGCAGTGCCAGCATTTCACACTAACAAGTGAAAGATTGACACAGAACTGCTTAGGTTTTCCAGTGGTCAGACCACTCTGAAAAGCAACGCGTACTGAAACAGAGTGAGCTGTAGTGGGAGTAGAAAAGTAACCACACTAAAGGACACAGTCCAGTTAAAGGAGAACTTGGCACAAAAATGAACCTTTGGTTTGGTTTAACACATTGGTACCTAGTAAACCATTCTCTGAGATTTGTTTTCATGATATCGAATGTAAAGAGTTGTCGAAAAACTGTTTAGCATATAACGCTAGTATATGGGGGCATAAGAAATCACTAGTTAATACCACTAACAAGGCTCAAAATAGCCCCACACTAGCACAGTAACATAATGAGGGCCCTACATGCAGTCTACTTGTATAGAGGCAGGAGCCATCTTTGGAAAACAGTCTCGACAAGTTAAACCACGAACGCCGTTCATACAGTTCAAAAGTTCGCTTCATACAGTTCAGCTCACTTGGCACGTCGTTCGACTTGTCGAGATTGTTTTCCAAAGATGGCTCCTCCTGTATACACGAAGTGCACGGTCTTTATAAAATATCTTATTATTAAACGGTCTGTACACTTTCAAAGTTCTCAATGCTTCATTTCGCATGCAGGGACCCTCATTATGTTACCGTGTTAGTGTGGGGCTATTTTGAGCCTTATTAGTGTCTCTCACGTCCATACACGAACTTACGCACATGTATGTTGGTTATCTTTACATAATAATATTTCATATAATCTAGATATGGAATGAATAACATACAATACAAAATGAACATGTCTCATATATAGAGATAAAGCTTTAAGTGATAAAATTTGCTTTGTTGTACATAAGAATCACACCATGCATTTAGTCATATTAGAAAATAATTTGTTGAAGCATCCAGATCCTTCACCACATGAGCAAGCAGCTAGGCTCCTGATTGGTTAACGCGGTGCGAATTGACAGCAAAATTTGCGTCAAACGCGTGAATGCACAAATAGCACTAACTAAATCATTGGCGCTCAATTCGCGCCATTCACAAGAGCTTGATGCGCGAATGAGGCGTATATCTGCAGGAATTTTTTACGCGCGTAACGAGTCTTTGCATTGACTTAACATTAAAAACCATTCGCGCCTGACGCATTATTCGCATCCAGTGTGAACGCACCATTAGTGCTTTTAACTAGCGATTTCTTTTTACTTATTATATGCCCCCACATACTAGTGTTATATGCTAAACAGCGTTTAGAGATAAAACTTTACCATTCGATTATAATGAGAAAATAAAAAAAGGAACGGTCAACTAGGTACCAATGTGTTATTAGACCAAAGATTCATTTTGAGCCAGAGTTCTCCTTTGAGCATTATATACATGCTGTATAATTGCCTCCAATGAAGTAATTAGCTCAGTTTCATTCATTACAATCACACATAAATACATACCTGTGCCAAACATGTTCTTCTGGACTGCGAAGGGCTGCACTTGTAGCTCGAACGTGTTTACAGTAAGCCTGTTGGAGATGTTGTAACTCTGCTCTTTCCTGCACATGTATGAGCTCCCAAAAGATGCCTCCCACAGAGATAGATTATAATTGGAATCTCTGAAAATGCTCCCTGTTGAGGTCACAAATCAGAGAACAGAATATTACATAAGAAACTAAATAAGAATTAAATATCACATAAGAAACGCAGCACCTTTAAAATATGCTTCATCGTATTGCTCAAGGCTGATAGAGAATTTCTGTATGTAAATTTCAGTGGAAATGAATGCACATGAGCATAATCACCCATTTAATACTGTTAAATCTAATCTTTAGCAAATATCCATCTCACACTATACACAAGTTATGCCAAAAATTCACTTGCAACATTAAAAACAACTTATGTGTTGTATTAATTTTTTTGGCAATTTATTGGCTAAAGTTCACAATAAAAAAAATCTTACCATTTCCAAAATCAACAGAGAATATCAAAGCATGTAGACGAAACTTCTGTGAAACCTGTAAAAACAAATACAATAACCTTATCTGAAAGTAATGTTGAACTGGCAATTTAGTGCAAATTTGTTTGAAAATGTAAGATTTGGATGAAGCATGCATGGACCACCCCAATCCCATCCCTAAACCCTCAGTGGGGTGTAAGCGGACCATGCAAAAGTGTAATTGTACAAATTCATAAGTGCCCACAGTGTATAATACTTTTAGACCCACTGTGGTGAAAATCAAGTTTGTCAGGAGTATGTCAACGTGAATCCTGTCAATGTGTGGGGCTTTTCCTATCATTCACATTAGTTAAGTTAAACACCATGCCAGCTAGCCCATGGTGAGAAAGATTTTAAAAAATATAAAAATAAATATTATACTCCTTTATATATAGGGTCTTTTATACATAAAAGATTGAACTCTTTTAGACTACTTTATTTTTCAGTTGAGCCCATCAAAATATGTTTCAGTGATAATGGATTCTGGCATGAGGGTATTATGGAGGATCTTCACCCATTAACAGAAACACAAGTTAAGGCCTGTTCACACCGGGACGAATTTCTCACGCTTTATTCACCGACGTTTAACACCTAGTGACTAAACAAAGGGCGACAATGTGAGTGTGCACACCGACGCATAAAAACGTCACGCGTAAAATCATCATTTAAAAAAAAAAAAAGCCTCTGGTTAGTTTTTGTAGTTTGACGCGCTGCATCAAAAACTGTATCGCTGTATCAAAAACTTTTGCTCATGTGTTTGGAGCTTCTGAAGTTACAGTAAAACACAACTTGGGGGGGCGCTCAAAAACAAAACGGTCTTGCCAAGAACACATATGCAAAACGGCGAAGATGATACACGTCAAGTGGAAGTTGAGTTGAGTGAGTGGATCAGGTAGTCCAAATTGGTGTGATCGAGTAGAGGCGGGGACTAATATACTAAATGTAACTGTAGTTACATTTAAGCCATTAAGGTATGATCACAAGGGGGGGGGGGAGTATATAAACTTTTTTTTTTTTTAACCAAAGATGAATTAAGGGATAACATTGACAGCAGGGGGTACTTTAAGAACTGCCACGAGTGTGCATTAGTCAGAAGACAAAAACAACCCAGAAAATGTACCTTCAATTTTGACAATATATTTGACTCACTCCTTTAAAGACTTACATTTCTGAAGACAAAATTAACAGTCATTTCCTTTGACTTCAGTACAAGGGAAGAGTCATTTCCACCAATTCCACAGGTTCCACTTGTTTCCGTTACATTAGGACTTGGGTCAAGATTAAGAGTCTGAACACTGCCATTCTAAACAGCAAGAAAAAAAAAATAAGACTAAGAGTGGAGCAAGTGTATTACAACAAATTTGCAATAAAAGATAACAAATCTGCAGTCCTCTAGACAGATCGTTTCATACATACCCCACTTATTTTGAACTGAAGGCCCATCTTTGCCAATAGGCAGGCTGAGACGTTGTCAGACTTGACGCTGTAGCTTCCAACAGTTGGGCTGGGCACAGGAGGAGTAGTCGGGGGAGGAGTCGGGGCTGTTGTAGCATTTGTATGTGTGGTAGTTGGCACTTGAGTGGTAGAATTCGTTGTGTTGTGAGGCATGGTAGTTGGAGGTTCTGTGGTGGCATTAGTCGTCTTGTGTTGTGTGGTGGTCGCAGGTTCTGTGGTGGCATTAGTCGTCTTGTGTTGTGTGGTGGTTGCAGGTTCTGTGGTGGCATTAGTCGTCTTGTGTTGTGTGGTAGTTGCAGGTTCTGTGGTGGCATTAGTTGTCTTGTGTTGTGTGGTAGTTGCAGGTTCTGTGGTGGCAATAGTCGTCTTCTGTGTGGAAGTTAGAGTCGCACCACCTTGAGTGGTAGCTGAATGTTCAGAGGTGGTTGGAGCTGTTGAACTGACTGGGAGTTTGCTTGTACTGAGCTCTACAGGTGGCAGTGAGGTCACCAGATCATCAGCATGCACAATACCTGTGGAGGATGAAAGAAGAATATTAGATGAATGCACTATTTCTACATGCTTCACAACATTGTGGGGTTTCCCCATGTGACACTGGGAATACACAAACCTGCCCTTTTAACTTTCCAAAAATCAATTTTAACTTGTATAATAAATGCCATAAAATACATGAAGACTGATACTCGGTAAATTATTTTAACCAAAGTGAAAGAACTTAAGCAAACCAAAGTCTTCCAACCACCTCCATGCATAAGGAAATAAAAACCGCAATCCAAGCACATTCCAAAAGCTTTCCTGACTTCCTGACAGCAGCAAACTAACACTCTAAAAGATTGAATTAGATATGCTGTCTAGGACAACTGACTTAAGGCTGAAATACAGAAAAAAAATTTCTTTGACCTGCAGATTTGGGGCAGTACAGATAAATCAAATTTTAAAACAGTGTAAGATGGTCATAGATTTTGTAGCTTCAAACTATGATTTTATAAATATCAGACATGTTTTGATGGGAACACTTTACAATAAGGTTCATTAGTTAACATTAGTTAATGTATTTACTAACATGCACAAACCATGAGCAATACATTTGTTACTGCATTTGTTCATCTTTGTTAATGTTAGTTCATGAAAACACAGCTGTTCATTGTTTGTTCATGTTAGTTCACAGTGCATTAACTAATGTTAACAAGATTTTAATCAAGTATTAGTAAATGTTGAAAATAACATTAACAAAGATTAACAAATGCTGTATATGTGCTATTCATTATTAGTTCATGTTAACTAATGTAGTTAACTAATGTTAACTAACGAACCTTATTGTAAAGTGTTACCGTTTTGATATTACTCAATTGGCATACATTTTGACATACTATATAGGAATAGTATGAGCAGCAACTGTCTTCATTTATCACTCATCTCAAAGCAACAAGGCACACATTTATCCACATGTTTGTGTTCAGAACAACCTATAAACTCGGTAGTGTGTGAATCTCAATCATTGGGTGTATGCCCAGTTTGTCTAACCATTTACATATCTGATAGCATGATGCCTAGTGTTTTTTAAAAAAAAAATAAAAAAAATCTGATTTTAAAAGTTGTGTAACTGTCCCACCCCATAGTTTGATTAAATCATTAACCTGGTGCTTTCAGCAAAGGGAGTCTCTAGTCTAGTGCATCACACACAAACCCATCACATGATTATGAACGAGAGCGGCAGAGAAACACCGAATAAGCACTTCAGGTCACATGTTTGTGAAGTTAAATGAGTCAAATGAGAGAAGTCTATGGGGTTATTTCCATAATTTCAGCTAAACTAAAAATGATAGTTGCAAAATCATTTAAGTTAAAGTCTGCATTCATAAATATTTAGTATTATTAACACAAATGATCTCGGTCATAACTCATTTCATTTAATCTGAGCATATTCAACACACTTGTATATGATTTACTGCCTTTATTACTACCTAGCTTGAATTAACCCGGCTTTGTCAGAAAACCTAATAAACTTCCAACCGAGACACTGGATATCAAAACTTCCAATGTTCAGTCAAGAATTATTGCGGTCCATGTAGACTAGCAACTAGGCAGAGACACGGCCAGGAGTTTTTATATGGCTCAATGCTGACAGTTTTACTAATTATACAACATATTCAACGTTTCCTAAACATATTGTAAGTTAGCTGTTTTTGTTGGTAGTCTAAATTCGCTCGTAATGCTCAAGGTATCTATTAACGTATTTTATTTTGTAAATTATTGAGCACTTTGATTTGTATACATGAATTTAAGACAAGCAAAGAGACAGTAAAACCTGTATCCCACAAGTTGACAGCCTTTCTGATTATCTAACGTGCTTCTACTGGCGTAGGTAAGAATTCACGCTAACGCTAATGCTAATGCTAAAAGGATCTCGCGCTCCGTGGGCCTGTGTAACGTTAAATCTCTCAAAATAAACTTCAGTATCTGCTTCTAAAACGTGACACCGTCTGAAATAAAATAATCAACAAAAGTCTCACGTACCACTCAGCAGAAAAAAGAGCAAGATCACACAACCGCGGACAGCCATTGCGAGGGATGGATGGTTACTCAGAGCAGACAGACACTAAACGACGGCCCGGCCCCGGACTGAGTGTGACCCGGTTTAGCAACAGCAGCTGTGAGTGTGATGAGCTCAGCCTCAACCTGCGCTCGTATAAGTCATATGACACGACTGCTCTCCTCCTCCTGCACGTGCCTTACGTTGAGTTTACGAATTACTGTTGATTTACCAAACCTGTGTAACGTTAATTAATAAATCAAACACAGAAATGTGTTATTCCTGTATCAAAACCCAATTAATAAGCAGATTATGGGTCTAGTAAACTGTAACATATAAAAACAGTTTTTGTTCTGTGTGAAGGTTTTAATGTTATGAAAAGATTCCTGATCACACAAAACTATTATAAATATAAATATTATTATTGACATTTTATTATTTATACCAAAATATCTTCCTGATTTCCTTCTGACAGTCAGATTTAAAGCACATTTTAGCATTACCGTTTTTTTCTCAAGTTAATTCTTGCTTTTATTAGTTTTTATGTGTGTGACCATTTAATTTGAGTACGTGTCAAATGGAATTTTCTGAGTCTAGCTGTCACATTTGTTTGTACTTCTTGCAGTGAATAATTTATGATTAGGTTTGTATATTAACTGTTTGTTAATGGTTAGGATCCTCATTGTTGATGTCAAATTTACCTTAATTGGATTCAATACAATTCATTAAAAATATCACACAGAAACAGTCCTCTGGTAAAAAAAAACAGCAAACCTTGAACACTGAGAGGTACACACATTACAACACACACACACACACACACACACACACACACACACACACACACACACACACACACACACACACACACACACACACACACACACACACACACACACACACACACACACACACACACACACACACACACACACACACACACACAGATTTCATAAAGTGTTCCTTTTTTTCCTTTATTGTATTTTAACCTTAAATCAAGGTTAGCTGAACATATGTTGACCATTTGTGACCTTTAGGTGGGCATTATACAGTAGGCCTTTATACAGTAAAACAAAATTAAAACATTTTTAAAATCTCAAAGTGAAAAAAAATCAAGGCCATTTTCCAGTTTACATACAAATTTTAATTAATCAATTGTATGATATTACTTATACATATTTGACATCCTGCCCTGACCTGACATTTCTGAACAATATGGTTTAAAATGACGTATATAATTCACATACATTATTGTAATTTAGGCAGTCTGGAGTGAAATATGGTATTTTTAAAGGTGTTGTTTTGAGAGTTTTGTGACTGGACTGCACATTATGTATTGGCGCCCCCTTCTGGAGCATCGGAAACGTCAGGCCGCGCGCCTCAACAGCAGCTGCGCGCACAGCAACGGGCAAAAGTACTTCCGGCGGGTCAGCGTAGCCTCTTTGAAAAGTTACTATTTCCCTGCAGACTTGTCCTCAAACCGAAAACATCAGCCAATTTCCCGAGCAGAAACACTGCGTTCAGCAGAATGCTTTAACGCAAACAGCCCTCGATGAGAAGCAGTTTGTAATCCAACGGACTTTGTGCACCGCGCCGGAGTGTGTGCTCGAGCGAGAGGAAGCAGTATTCAACCATCTTTCCTCTGTTGGCAATAACAAGAGCAGAGAAGGGTCCAAGTGGGGCTGCACTTCTCATTTTAGCCTCTTTTTTTCTCTTTAATCACACACGGAGCCGAGAGGTTGCACTCCCCCCGACCGAGACCGAGGAATATAAAGCGTCCAAACCCGGGATCGTAGTAGCATTAAGTTAGTAGATTAGCGATTTGATTTAGTATTTCTTTTTTCATGTTTCCAACAGGTTTACCTTCCCCTAATCCCCCACCGCCAGCCCAAGAGCCCAAACCGGTAGCTTCTGATGTCCACAACGACAGTAGCTTAACGTCTTCTAAGAAGAGGAAAATTAACAGTTCAGAAAAGGAAGATATTGATTCGATATCTTCGTCTCCTAAAGCCATTTGTAATTCCTCATCCACAACGTCCTGCTCCTCCAGTTCACAGCAGCTGCAGCAGCACATCCAGAAGAAGTTGAGGTTCGAGGACCCGCTGGATTTGATCGGGCTGGATGTGAAAATGGCCGAGGAGTCGTGTAACCCTGCAGAATCTTGTTCAAAGGCGAGAAATGTGTTCCTGGCTGGAGGTGTTGGGCATCATGCGAACGGACTGACCAAGTCTGCGGGCTCCGCCACCTTCTCCAACAGTAAACCCGGTGCTGCGAAGAAACTTGTTATCAAGAACTTTAAAGGTAGGTGAAGATTCGTCGGTCCCCTTGTTGTCTTCTTTGTAAACAGGCTGTGTTTGTTTTAGTTTCTCAACTTGACGAGGTTTGACCAAAACGCACATGTGATGTCCAGAAATGATGCCCAGTAATTACAGCATCGACCTAATGCAATTGTAAACAACTTTAATAACTGGCTTATAGACTAAAAATGCTGTGGTATTTTCACGACTGAGACCATTTTTATATAGACGTGTATCAAAATCTGATTGCTTGAAACACGTGTCTCTATTGCATCTGTTTGTAAACATCTTTTCCATATGTAATGATAATTTTTCATATATATTTTAAAAATGTAATACATTTTTTTGTAACACAAACATTTTTTTTAAGGAAGTATTAATGCAAATGTTTTAACAAAAACACCAACCTCATGTTTCTGCTTTTACACTCTTAAACTAACAACTGTTACTTGCAATTTTTTTTTTTTTTTTTGAGGGATGTCAAAAATAATTTCAGGGTTTTTAATCATTGCCAATCATCAACATTATGCGTCTTATTTTGTATCTTTACATTTAGTCGCAGTGGCCATAATTTTTAAAATAATATATTTAAAGTAAACAATTGTGTCAGACATGTACAACTAATACAGAGTTCAACAACTTATCTTATGCAAGGAAGTGCTGCTGTCATGAATAAGTCCAGATTTGTATCTATACACTGTTAAATATAATTTGCTCCTTTGTAATTTGCATTTGTTTATGGAGGTATATCACTTGTGTAAACCAAATCAAAACCTGCACGTAATTGAAATGCAACCAGGTTTAGTTTCTCATGCAAGATAACAGTACACTTTTTTCTTTTGTTATACTTTATCAGAAAAGCCAAAATTACCAGAGAATTACACAAATGAGACCTGGCAGAAACTGAAGGAGGCAGTAGAGGCCATACAGAACAGCACATCAATTAAGTATAATCTAGAGGAGCTCTATCAGGTATGCTATGTGTTTTATGAATATATTTGTTTGGACATTTAGTAACAATATATATAAAATCTAATGTTATTTATTTTGACTTGTCTTTCCAGGCTGTTGAAAACCTGTGCTCCCATAAGATATCAGCCAAGCTCTATAAACAGCTCAGAGTGGTCTGTGAAGACCATATCAAGGCACAGATTGACCAGTTCAGAGAATATCCTTTTCCATGCTACACATTTATATACAGTTTCTTGCTGTATTTTTAGGTTGAGAGAGTGGAAGTAAAGAGCATGAACCAAGGTTCAACATGAAAATTGTTTTTCTGCAGGTTAAAAGTTTAGATTTTTTTTTACTTATCCTTTTTCTTCGCCTTTTTCTTCGCCATAACTCTAAATAACACATAATGATCTACACCAAAATTGTTTTTGATCATAAAAAATAGCTGAAAGTTTGATATGTATGCCATAAACAGTTTTGCTAAAAAAAATCAATGGCATATGGGGCAAATTAACTAAAAATATGTGGAAAAATTTTCAGAAAATTATAACAAGTTCAGTCACTGGTAAATAGTAAGACTGTCTGGATATAGACTGCTAATCGTAAATTGTTGCCATTTAACTTAACCTTTGTCCTACGGATGCCCTAGACAGTGTTCTGTTCCTCAAGAAAATAGACAAATGCTGGCAAGATCATTGCAGACAAATGGTTTGTAAAGTAGTCTACTCTTGACAATTCCTCTCTACATTTATTTTTAATAAGTTGAAAGTTGTCGTTTGTATTAATTGCTCCTATGTTTAGTCATGAACCTGTTAAAATGATTTTTATACAAAACATTTGTTTGTCTTTTCTTGTAGATCATGATTAGGAGTATATTTTTGTTTTTGGATCGCACATATGTTTTACAAAATTCAATGCTGCCATCAATCTGGTAAGTGTCCATTGAATATAAGATATTGAATTTGTAACACTGGCACGGTCACCCTTGCTGTCTTTATTTACTACCAGTGCTTTGCTGCTCCATCCTCCTTGGTGATTAAAGATACCCTTGTGTTTTGTCTTCAGGGACATGGGCTTGGAATTGTTTCGTTTCTATATCATCAGCGACCTGAAGGTGCAAAGTAAGACAATCGATGGGATTTTACTTCTTATTGAGAGAGAGCGGAGTGGAGAGGCCGTAGATCGCAGTCTCCTGAGGAGTCTTCTGAGCATGCTCTCAGATCTGCAGGTTAGGTCTCCTGCTTTCTCATTTGTGCTCGAATTAATGTTTCCGGGTTTATGATGCTTTTATGGCATAATTTAAAAAAATAATCATTTAAGTGCAAAAAAAAACTTTTACTTGTAGTTTACTTGTATTTCTTATTGTCTGCTCAATTTCAATGCCATAACCATATACATTCAGTAAACCTAATAACTCTCACATGACAGGCAACTAGAATAAAAAAAGTATTTTGTACAGTCTGATTAGTTTGGCGATGTATTTTTTAATATTTGCTAGAAATATGAAATGTTTAGATCTATATTAAATGTTAGCTTTTCCTTAGAAATTTTTTAACAAAACATTTACTTAACAACAGAAGTATATGATGCAAAAAATATAAATAATTTTGCGTATTAATAAAAACATTTTAGGGATGTATTAATGTAAGTGTAATGTGTAAAAATTCACATTTCTACTTTTAAACCCTCAAAGTACACTGTCCCGTTTATCTACAAATTAACTTTTTCTTTGTCAAACATTTTTTCAGTGTTTATCAACATTGTCACACTCTGACTAACTTTAACTCATATTTTAAATGTAGCATTTTTTAAATCATTAATGAAAGTTATTTATTATACTAATTTACTTAAAAAAAATAAGTGCTGTTTGCTTTAATTTTACAGGGTAAAGTCAGGGTTATTTAGGTTTTCGGTAACACTTTA